AGCATTAGAGCTAAAGACGTAACTAATATAATGGTGGATGCTTTGGTCAATCAGCTGTTTTCCTCATTCACCACTTAGAAGTAGGGTTGCCACTTTCAGTCTGATGAAACAAGCCGCCACCAGCCCCCCACCACCGGGTCCCTGATGATAAAATTTGCTGGAGGGGACATCGGTTGCGCAGTCCGAAAGAAAAACATGGAGCAAATTCCTTCCTGTACTTCAACACAGGACACAGCATTTTATTATGCGGCACAATCACATAAAATACGGAGCACGTGGCGACTCTACTTAAGGGCCTCAAAGTGCCCCCTGCAAGGCCTGCAAGACGTTTTCATTTCATTCAATTAATTCTTTCTTAAATCTGGCCAGTAATATCATTGCGCTAATCACCAATATAAAATAAAAATATGTATGTTATCGGAACTGGTTAAAATTTCCATATTGGTGCACTATTACTATTTTAGAGTAATATTACTGGTAACCAGCTAACCTCTGAGCTTCACAGATTTGTAGCCGCATCATATTATACAGACAGTGAGACGTCGGTGAAGTAGAGCTAACCTGGGAGACTGTACCGAGGGTCTAAGTGATGAATGAGGCGGCAAAATCCTTTGTACGCAAGTACGGAAAATGACTGATTGCCCAATGCAGTCGTTTCCAATTATTGTTGTATGCTGCACTGTCCTTTCCACGTCTGGTATGTTAAAGATGGCGTTCACGTTAAGCCCGGTGCTGTAGCTAGGATACTGAGATGCCTGGGCCCCTTTTAGCTCCTGTGAAGCATCTTGTGACAAAGACCGTTTTTCCCGCGAAGACGAGTGGGGAGAACATCAGCGTTGTCGTCCATGAGAGGTGGACAGCAGGCCGGGAAGTGAAATTCGACTAAGCATTTCCATTGCAGTACTTATCTGCCACAGTAAATAACTTCTCCTTTGTGTTTACTTAATGCTTCACCACAGCCTAATATGGTGAAACGTCCAGTCCTCTGCCCACAGTCACAAAAGCAGTGGGGACATGCTCCCCCCCCACCCCTGAAGTGATTTATTTCCCCATCGGACCCTGCCTTTGCTTATCTTCGGTGGCGTGAAGGTCCGGTTGGACCACTCATTTAACCCCAACTGGAACCTTTGTCAGCGGATGAATGTAATTATGAGATTTCAAAGGCTTGACGCAATCACCTTGTATTCATTTGCTTGTCCTTTGACTTACATTGATAAGTTGGTTGTGATTCATAGAGTAGTGTTATATATACTTGTACTGTAGTGTTGTGTTTTTTTATTTATGGGAGGGTTATAACTCGGGAGGAGTGTTTGTTCTTTTGGACGATTTATGCACAGCTATTTATAGGCAAACAAATGGTTTCAAATCAGCAGTGGTGTTTCCGGCAGGATTGCAGCTTTCAGAGAAACCGGTTTACTCAAGCTGTAAAATATTTCTGTGGGAATACATTCATGCGTACTGATTTTAAGGTTCACACCTCAGTTTTGAGATTAATTCTGCTGAAGTAGAGTAGCGATCCTGTCTGTGTTGTAGGGAAGGACTTCAGACCTGACAGTCACATGTGGCATTTTTCTTGTGCTCCTCTTCTCGCGGGAGTCTGTCATACGTTTTTTGCGTGCCGCTTCAAATAATTCTGTCCCTCAATTCAGCATGACACAAAGCACAAAAGCCCTGTCACCATCTCCCATATTCAGCCTAGCTGGCCTATTGTGTGCTCTTCAGATCTGTCAGGGTCACTTTTTTTGCAGTCGATGGTGTTTAACCGGTCTGAGGGAGGGGATCGTTTTTGGATAGAGCATGAAAAGAGTTAGGGAAATAAAACGGAGAATCTTGGAGCCCTTGAAAATAATTTGAGTCTTCCCTGTTGCTAAGATGTGGCTGCTAGGTGCCAAACTTCATTGTTCGTCGCTACAGGTTTGGCGAAAACTTTGACTGTCATTCAGATGTGCGTAACTGTGAAACGGAATGTCCAAAAAGGTGAGCGCTCAGCAGCCTATCCCAGCCCAAGATGCCCACGTTAGAGCGCATCACCGCACCCCTTTCCGGGTGGCTTAGCACACTCCCGCCTGTGCCTATCACTGCCTCCCATTGGCCTCAAAACGTTCAAACGTAAGAGCCGGGGGGGTGGTGGAGGTGGAAGGACTGTCTGCGAAGCCGGTGGTAATACAAAGACCCTCATAAACCCTCACTCAAGCTCCTGTTCGTCTGCCTGTCTGTAGTATATCAGCAATTTTATGTCGTTAACAACTCCCCCTTTCAGACTCACGAAGATTGCAAAACATTACCAGTAGAGGGCAGCATTGCACTGAAGTACAAATGTCTTACAATAAAAAGACTGCAAGCTGTTCAAACTCAGCATTGTAATAAATTATTGGTCAAAAGGTTTTAAGCAGGTTGTGTCTTGCCCTGGGAAAATGCGAGAATGCGTGCTTAGCGGGTGAGGACAGGAAAATCTGTCTTATCTAAAGTCAGAAGATTTTGTAGTGTTGTCATGAAAAACAGAAAATGATGGTTTCATCTCCATGTTGAAATTATAGTGTGTCACTCTGGTGAATGTTGTGACAAATCATTAAGGGCTTCTTGCTTACAGGCTTCTAACTCATTTCTTGTATCGTTCAAATGAAGAATGGTAGGTCATTGTATGTAGACCATTAAAAGGCTTATCCTTATAGATTAGGGGTGTTAATCGTCGGCCCCAAGGCGATTCAGGTATGGTTATTGAGGGAATGATTCCATGCATCGTAAATCTTGAATTTGTATCACAGTCCGATTCGATTATTCGGTTATTTGATTATTTTGCTGACCGAAATTCAAATCTTTTTAATTTCCCTGAAAATAATTCACAGTTATTGCCATGGGAACTTACACACTATTGAAGGAGTACAAAAGAAATGCAATGCTGTTATTAAACAGGGAGAACCAGCCAGTGTACGATTGTGAAAAGGCCAACGACTGAATTGTGCAGATATAAACAAACACATTAAAGGAAACGCTGTTTGATTGTGGGTTGCTGGTTCATGTTCTTGACATAACATTTTTTGTTCTGTGGAAAACAAAATATCGATCTACGAGCCAGATTTCATAATAAACTATAAAAATGTCGCGGGCTGGTACTTTGAGACCTCTGCTATGTGGCGAATGAGCTGATGAAATCCCTCGTCCTCCACTCTGGAAAATGGATGATCGTACAATGCAATCACCTTCATTTTTTTAGTAGTTATGTCTTTAGCTCTGGTGCTGCTAACTTTGAATATTGATAAAGTTGAAAAATCGGCCAAGATCAACGCATCTGACTCATGTCAATATCTTGAATTTTAATTAATATCGGCCTATAATAATATGTTAATATCGTATTGTATATCACAAAAGCTAACGTCGCTTTTTACTTAGGGCGTTTTTCCACCACACCAGGTACCGTACTTTCGGTACTTCCATAAAGTGCCGAAAGTTTGGTACTTCTTTCATGCCGGTTTTCCACTGCCGTAAAAAATGGTACCAGCGCCAAATGACATCATCAGTGACCGCCCCTGACTAACAGCCCAAAATTAAAACTAACAGTTGAGGCTGGAAAATGTGGTTTATTGTTATGTCAGCTTCTGTCGCAGTATAAGATTTAGTAAAATCCAAATCATGCTGCCATCAATTACGTTTATGTAGGTACACTTACTTTGGCTAAGCCGATCAAAGCAGTAAGAATTGGCTTACTGCTAATTCAGTCTTTTGAAAACAAATGATTTAATTATGTTTTTTGATTTTCAAGCGGCATTGTTCGGTGTTTCGCTTGTGCCCCATTTCTTCCATGCGGCTTGGTATTACGGTGTTCCCGGCAATTCAGTTTCTCTATGTTTGTCCTGTCTATCAGGAAATAATGTTTCCCCTAATATTAAAGCAAAGAGGTATGTGAAATGTCTGAAAATCACTCAGGTACATTATTACATGTGAATACAGTAGATCGTCACGCATAATATAGTCTTATAAGCAATACTATACCGTTTTCATCAAGAAATATCTCTATCCAGCGAATTAAGTAATTTCATTTTTTATCTGTAAAAACAAAAAACATAGAAAAGGCATGTGGTGTTTTAAAATTAATATATGGCTTGTTTACGTCAAGAGCTTCGTAAAAAGACATGAAAACAACAGCGAAACCGTGTACATATCAGCGCGCGACAGGAGAAACAGGGAAACTGAATTGCCTGCAATGGCAAAAACTTTATTTCGAGTCGTGCCATCCAAATCCCACTGGATCTGTTCATCTGACCATACGACGATTAAAGCCTGTGTTTCCTCGTTTGTCCATCCTTCCATTTTACTTTTTTATATTTTTGTTTCTACTGCTTTTTATTTTGTTTCCCGATGTGCTTGCTCTGTTTGCTGTGTGTTTCAAAAGATGGCGTTTGTATTTTTGTGTTTCAACGGCAGGCTATTTGCATAACCTATCGACAGCAAATACGTTTGCAAGTCCCACCCCCAAAGTACCGAAGAAGTACCCCAACTGGTTTGGCACTTTCGGTACTTTAACTTTAGGTACTGGTACTCGACCGGAAGTCAATGGAAAAGCGAAAGTACTGAAAGTACCGGTACTTTGTGTGGTGGAAAAGCGCCCTTAGTCTTGACCGTCGTTTCCTTTTCCAGGAAAAAGGATGACTTGTTTGTGCCACAACAGAGAGGCATTTCTAAAAAGCATTGTAACATAAGGTTATTTTTAGATGCAAAATAGGTCGAGTTTCCCCTGCTGCCCTATGTTTCAGACAATCGCATGCTGGCCTGGTACTGCAGCACGTGAGGGTACAACCCGGAAGTAGGAGTCTACCTTTTAAGGAGGATTTTGCCTCCAAAAATTAATTCTGCCATAAACAGATTAGAACAGTTGAACTTCCACTTTAATATTCGATTCATCGTGATGCATTGATGCATCTTTTCACTCCAATTATAGTTTGATTAACCATCATCATGTCCGACCACTAAAATGACAGAAAAGTTAATGTGACTTGTCTTACCCTGCATGTTTCAGAGTGAACATAGCTGTGGTAACTTCTGCTTTTGAGGAGGAACGTGAAGCATCCTTCAGTGAAAGTGAAACTGTCTCACTGTGTGAATCCCATAATGTGCAGAAGCCCCACCCACAGCCTGTGCAGGGGAATGTTAATTTCCCTTTGCACCTTACTGTAATGGACTCTTGTTTTACTTTGCTTATGTGGTCAGTATTTTTGTTGTTGTGTAGAGTGATGTCATTTCCTTAGAGGAAGCAGTTAGTGTCCTCTCTAGATGCGGAGGACCCGCCCAGCAAAGCAGGGCTTGGTGGGGGGGGGGGGGGGGGGTTCGCGTGCGACGTGCCAGGCAGCAAACAGGAAGTGACACACACCCTGCCTAGTTGCACTTTACAGAGAAACGCTCCCTCCCCCCACAAGCCACCAGACACGATCGATCGCGACATGGCCCAGGGCAAGGAACATCACGGGCGCTACAGCCTGCCCAAGATGGACAACCTGACCAGCCGCTTCTTCCAGAGGAGCCGCAAGAGTTCCCAAGAGCACAAGGGGGAGGGCCCCCGTGTGTCGGAGTTCGCCCTGCACCATGACCGGCTGAGTAAGTGTGTGTGAGAGGAGGGCGGGAGCTCGATGGGGCCCAGGAAGCCAGGGCACGGAGCATTTCGAAAACATGCACTTCGCAATGGTATTTAGGGTCATTCTCTGGCAGGGATTCTCCACAGATCCATAAGTCTGAATCTGACTGAAAGGTTTACCATTAACAAATGAAAAACAAGGTTTTTAGGGTTTTTTTGTGCAAAAGTGTAACTCTTAGAATGGGTCCCTTCGCAAAAATACTTTAATAAATAAATAACTAAGCAGAGTGATACTTTATTGATCCCTGTAGGAAAACCGCCTTTTCACCCATCCAGTCTCGCTTTGTATGAGACATACAGGTGAGAGAAAAAATCCGACCCTGGGTTTGAAGTAAGTGACTTTACTGGTTGCTTGCGATTGGTGCTCGTCGGGCGTCTCTTTTTGGCTGCTTGTTTGCGTGTGGCGTGAGGTTTGAACCCCACGGGTTGAGCTGGGGGTCACTGTGAGCAGCACCTCCTAAAGTTAGGACACCAAAGAAGTTGTGGGGCGACGCTAAGAATTTAGGAAGTGTCTGAAGACCCATCAGGCAGCCGTGATTTGTCGAGTTAGGACGTGAGCGTAGTCTCACACCTTGTTAATGAGAAAGGGGAGTGCAGAATGGCCAGACTCAAAAAAGCTACCAAGATGACCAGAAGTACAAAAATAGCAGATCAATGCAGCAAGCATCTGTAGAGGAGCTTTCCAGAGTGCACTTCTCAGGTCTGGAGACAAAACGGGTCCTACCTGGTACTAGCGAGATCATACTCAACTGAGTGTGTTTTGAGAGTTTTTGTGGCTTTTCTGGCAGAATCCCACTCTGAGTATTCTCTGTCTTGTACAAAATTGCTTAAAAAAATGAGAGAGATCTGCCAGCTTGCCTTGGTAAAAAGTAGCCTCCCTCTACTGTAGTGCTTCTCAACCCAATCCTCGGGAACAACAGTCAGTCCGTGTTTTTGTGCCCTCCCAGCTCCCTACCAGTCCACATTTTTGCTCTACGTCTATTTTTAATCCAAAGAATCTAGCCTTGCTCAGTTTAGAACCCATTGAATTAACATATTTTCCCGGTAGTGCTTAGAAATGTCTGCCTGGGAGAGAATGTGCTTTTCGAGCAGGCCCCCTCACAGCCTGGAGTTAGATGCTGATGCTGTTCCCATGGCGACGGGCTATGCTTGATCTAATTGCGAGGACTTTTGCATCATGATGCGGCTGCATCCCCTGTCTCTCTCTGGCTTTACTGGCATCCTGAAAATCGAAGATTTCAGTTTAAAATACAAGTGCAGATGCCTTTATTTGCACTTAAAATGTAATTTTGTCTTAATGTGTGTCGCTCTGCTGGATCATAATGAATGGTAAGTGAAATTATGCTTACAGATGTCTGAGTGTGTGTGTGATGGTCTGCGTTTTAAAGACAGCCGTTTTCGAAAGGGGCCCTTCTGTGCATCAGAGTGCCGCATGATGCAGTTTAAAAATTCTGCCTATTTGGCAGGTTTAGAGAGGAGTCTTAAATTGGCAGTGGTCGTCTGATGTGAAATGTTTGTTCTGTTATCTGCTGTCTTTGCAGGTTAGATTTTATGGCATTTACAAAATCATTTAGCTTTGCTGTTTGTGAAACTCTGAACTTATTCATTACCTCAATGGAGAGTGTGTCTACTTGTCCCCAGTGGTGAATCAGCTGTCCTGTTCAAAATGGGTGTAAGAAAATATCGATACATTCGAATATCATGATATTATGTTTCATAATGCTGTATAAATTCTCAAAAACACCGTAGTGGTTTTTAATGAATAGTTTCCATGCGAAGATTTGTGGCAGACAGTGGTTGTTTTGTGTCGTCTTTAGTCCCCAGACTGCTAGACAGACAGACAGACGCCATATTTCTTTTGCCATTTGATTCTTGATTCTTGCACTCCAGCATAACAGCCGAAACCGAGGCAGGAAGTAGTGCGCTGCTAAAATTAGCATTAGCCAACCTAGCAGACTACGAGGCTGCAGTCTTAATGTTACCACCGATGGCTGTGATCTAGACTGGCTCCCACGCCATACACAGCTTTATAGAGGCTCATATTAGCTTACACAATGCAGAAGGCACTAAGGAGAGCCGTGCCGTTTGCAAAGACTGGCATACTGCGAACCTTTAAAGCAAGATCTAAAAATATGTACTGTCTGTAAAAGTATGTAATGCTGTCTGCTCATCTTTATTTACTTAATCGGTTTGCCTAAAGAATCCTGCCAGCACTTTTATTTTTTAGATTGATATAGTCGAATGTTAATCCCTTTGCTGAAATTGCAGAAAAAGTAGCGCTGTGAGCCTGTGATGCTGGAGGTTACAGGGACTGTAGTTAATGTAAGAGGGTATCCCACTGCGCTAGTTTCATTTAAAAAAAAAAAAACAGCATTTTTTCTGGGATTTTATGCATATGGCGGCGAGTCCTTTATACTATGACAGTGTTCCTAAAAACAGATGTTAAAAATAGCAAAATTGGCTTCTTGTGTCGCAATATATCACAATGTATTGTAACCTCTGTATCATATGTATCGTACCGCCGGATTCTTGCTAATACAATCCTACTGTTCAAGCTGTCCCCCACCCATTGGATATCGATTAACCTATGAGCAAACAGCTTTGGAAAGTGGATGGATGGATGGAATTTATGTATATATATGATGTCTATGTGTACAGTGCAGCTGCAGGAGTTATACCCATCTGCAGAGGAATCGTGTCAGACGCGTACCTTGGGGAGTCTGTAGAGGGAGCCCTGCATGCTTGTCTTGCTTGTATTGTGTCTGAATGCCATCGTAAGGAGAACAGTTTCTGAAATAAGCCCTGCTGTATGTGTCGCGGGTACGACGTTACCGGGGGTGACCTGAGCAGTGCGCCGAGCAGGCCCTGACAGCCATGTTTTTGGTGCTGCTCTGAAGGGGAAATTCCAGCCAGCAGCGGAGGCTGTTACCTTCACACTGCCGCCAGCCGCCCGCCGCTCTGCTGCCGAACCTCCGGCCGGAGGTTTCCGTTTCGGCACAGCAGTTTGTGGCCTGGCTGCACTGCATTGGTGGTGCCTCCCACGCAGCTCCACAGACCACGAGACGTCAGAAGAGTTGTGCTGTTTCGCTAACATGCTGTTTACATGTGCTTGTTTCACCCTGTTGTTTGAAGGTCCAGGGGTAACTAATTGCTCGTTTGACGGCTGACGACAGCATGGGCCCATCGAGACCTGACAATTTGCTTGGAAAACCTATTACTAGGAGCATGTGATGCAGTGCGGTTTATCTTGTTAGTTTTTTTATGTCCTGTTCTTGTCAGGTTTCATTTCTGTCTGGGTGAGATGCAGAATGATGCAATATTCCAGTTATTCGTTATTTATTCATTCTGTTAAATGCTTGGTAAACGCAGAAATCTGTTCAGGTCCTACAGCAAGCGGCATGGTCTGTTCTGTTCTGTTTTTCAGCTTTTAAAATCTCTACGGTAACGAGCTTCAGTTTCCACTCAAAGCGGTCCCACCTCCCCATCCAGTGTTTTGGTCTGTTTTTTATGAAAGGAAATCCAGTTGTCTTCTCCGGTGAAGGTTTCCCCAGAGCTTTGTTTTCATTGTGGCTTTTCTGTTTTAAACTCACAATGTAAAAAACTTCCCATAGTAGCCTTGCTGTTTTTTTTAATAATAGTCATTAAGTCATACACCCTAAAATCTCAGCTGTCAGCCACCTAGGCGATAGTGCATCAGTGCAATTGTAAGTTTTTAATTTTATTATGTGAGAATACGTAGTAAAATGACCAGCTTCACTGGCTGCCCATATAGATAATTTTTTTAAACCATTTGGTCCATTTTCCTCTCTGGGATGCTGACATGATGGGTTTGTTCTAAGTGAATGGTGACCAAATGTAGACCAGTGTTTCCCAATCCGCTTCTTGGGGACCCCCATGCGGCCCATGTCCAGGTGCTGGGAGGAAGCAAAAGCATGGACCGTCTGGGGGTCCCCCAAGGCCCGGGTTGGGAAACACTGGCCTACAGTGTCTCTGTGCCGTAATGCTTTTGTCATGTCGAAGTTGTGTTCTTGTCATTGGTGGTATTCGGGGACTTGGGTAACGGTCAGTCTGTTCAAACCAGTTGTCCCCTCCATCTTTTTTCCTGTTGGTCTGATAGACACTAACTGTCATTGCCTCTAATCCACTTTGTATTTTTGATGTGCTTGTTGTAAATACATGAACTTTCTCTTTCTCTCTCCCCCTTTCTCTCTCCTTCTCCTCATCCTCCCATCCTTGTGGGTGTTCCTGCAAATCCTTGGTGATCTGTAGAGACCTTTGGTATGCTTTTTCTTCAACAAGATGTCCACAATCACAGAAACAGCCAGCCTCCCTACATAACTGTTAGACATTTTATCGGGTGTGCACCATGAGTCATTCTTCCTTTTAATTCGATACTTAAGCATGTAGAAACAATGCAAGCCTCATGCCAGCCCTTGACTGGCTTTGCGCCGGAGTTTCTGTGATTATGGCTGTCCCCTCCTGTCTGCCGGCTGTGGTCTCCATCATCTAGTTTGTCTGTGCCTTTAGTCGTAACGGCGTGCTTTCACTCCATAAAGAAACGATTTTGAAAAGACTAACATCTAGAAGTGATGCGTGACAGTTCCTGAATCTTACTCTTAAATATCGCTGTTCTGCTTTTTAAAAAGTGAATGCTTTACCTGAGAATCTTGCATCACTTCTCAGATTGCCTGCCTTTGAGTTTTTAATGTATGATTTTATAAAGATTCTAGATTGTTGAAAAAATATTGAATACATATTAATTTCCATATTAATAACTAAATACAATTTTTTCTGTAGTTGCTTAAAATTTTAATTTTGACTGCAGAAGTGACCATTCTTCCCTAACTGAGGGAAGTCCTCCTGTTGAAGTTGACAGTTTGTCTGTGTCTAACTATTTGTTTATGCTCCCCCACAGTGAAAGAGTTCTTAGCCAAAGCTAAAGAAGACTTCTTACGGAAATGGGAATGCCCTCCACAGGTACAGAAGCCCGCGGCTGTGATCCCGGCACCCATGTGCTGTATTATCCTAAGGGAGCACTTTCACCAGCAGGGCTAACTGAGAATGTCAAACAGAATGTGCTTTCAACAATGACCGCACTAAAACAGTTTGATTTGTAAACCCTTGACTTGCATTAATGTTCTTTAATGGGTGTTTAAGTTTAAATTTACTAGTAGGTGTGGGTTTGAATTCAGGTTCTGGATCTGGGTGGAGCTCGATCCAGCAACTCCAGTTTATAAATGGCTGGCATTTCCCTCCTCAGAGCACAACGGGCCTAGATGACTTTGAAAGGCTAAAGACACTGGGCACCGGCTCATTTGGGAGAGTTATGTTGGTAAAACATAGAGGCACAGAGCAGTACTACGCGATGAAGATTCTGGACAAGCAGAAGGTTTGTGAATGTCACAAATGACATACTGCCTGTTTCCTCCATCGCCCCCTGCAGGATGTTCAAGGAAATGCATATTGAAATAAACGTGTGCGATAAGCAGTGGATTTTCTCATTTTCAGAATAATTTACATTTTGTGGCAGATGTTTTGTGCGATGGAGGTTTTAGTCATTTAGTTTCAAAGATGTTTGTGGATTCATGCTGTTTTTTGTGTAACCCGTGCTCTCGTCTCCATAGGCAGCCCTTAATATATCAAAGTTTGTTGATTCTGTTGACTGTTGATAGAGATCGATCTTTTACAAGTATATCATGGTCCAAAATTAGTGTTTGTTATGCAAGTGAATTGCTTGGCTATTGTGAGTTTTCTTTTTTTTTTAAAAAAGCTATTTATATATTTATACAGTTATCATATTAAATGATTATATTACTGCCTTGACACTGTATGGGGACTCTTCAGGGACCTTGCGTCCTCTGCTGAGCCACCGCCCCTCGCTGACTGCTGGCCTGTCTCTCCTGGTTCAGGTGGTGAAGCTGAAGCAGATCGAGCACACGCTAAACGAGAAGCGGATATTGCAGGCGGTGTCCTTTCCCTTCCTCGTGAAGCTGGAATACGCCTTCAAGGTGAGGCCGGTGTCATGTGGGATTCTCCGCTCGTCAGTCCGTTTTAACTGCTTGAAAAGGTCAGAGCGAGTGCTTCCTCTTATCATGCTGTCATCCTTCATTCCAGGACAACTCCAATTTATACATGGTGATGGAGTACGTTCCGGGTGGAGAAATGTTTTCGCATCTCAGACGGATCGGCAGGTTCAGCGAACCTCACGCACGCTTCTATGCTGCTCAGATAGTCCTGACTTTTGAGTACCTCCATTCACTCGACCTTATCTACAGAGATCTGAAACCCGAAAACCTTTTAATCGATCAGCATGGCTACATCCAGGTCGGTGATGCCTTCCCAGCAGGCTCAGTCCCTTTTAAACTACTGGCGTGATGCGTTGAGGCTTGTTTAAGATTCGGTCCTGCTTCTACAAGTCCTTCACATAGAGTGCATTTGCTGCCATCTCATATAATTAATCTCAGCTTCTTATTTCAGGTGACAGACTTTGGTTTTGCCAAAAGAGTAAAAGGCAGAACTTGGACGTTGTGTGGAACCCCAGAGTACCTAGCACCAGAAATCATTCTCAGCAAGGTGTGTGACTCTCGCCGCATCTGTGTCACTCGTGTGTGGACATAAAACTAGTAAACGCGTCCAACCGGAACCCCAGCACGGGGGTGTCGTCAGCTCTTGTGGGTCATGACTTGGAAAATGTCTTTGTCTAGGGCTACAACAAGGCTGTGGACTGGTGGGCCTTGGGGGTTCTGATCTACGAAATGGCAGCTGGCTACCCGCCCTTCTTTGCAGACCAGCCTATCCAGATCTACGAGAAAATAGTGTCTGGCAAGGTATGGAGATCTTCAGACAGTGCTACCAGCACCAGAGATCATCTGGTTCCTTTCTCTGTTCAGAGAGAAGCTGGTGCCCCAAGCCGATTGCACTCGTTCATCAACAGATGAACGGAAACTAGTTTAGCGTTACTCAAGATAAGACATCGCATTTCAAGTCAGCTTCTGCACCTGAATTTGTGTATAGCAGCCTCTTGAATGAGGGTCTTTAACAGAAGTGTATCACCATTAGCTTATCTCCAAATCAACATAATTCCTTTGCACGGGTTAAAAATCACTTCCTGTCTCTTTAAATGAAGTGCATGTATTAAAATGTATCCATCAGTGTTTAGTCTGTGCCGTTCCAACCATTCCTCCGCAGGTACGATTCCCATCTCACTTCAGCTCAGACTTGAAAGACCTTTTGAGGAATCTGCTCCAGGTTGACCTGACCAAGCGGTACGGAAATCTGAAGAACGGAGTGAATGACATTAAAAACCACAAGTGGTTCGCCACAACAGACTGGATTGCCATTTATGAGAGAAAGGTAAGGATTCACCCTTTGTTGAAAAACAGGTTGCATTCGTTGTCAGGGTTTAGGTCAGGATTACTAGGGTGCCAGATATCTGGGTACTAGATCACAGGCAGATAATGAAAAATGAAGTTGTTTTGTGCAAAAGGAAGCCGGAGAGCTTAGATCTGTCATAAACCTTCTGTAGCCTGTATCTCCTCTTTGATCCCGGCCTCCTGTGATTTGTTTTTGTTGATAGGTGGAGGCTCCTTTCATACCAAAGTGCAGAGGTGCAGGCGATACAAGCAACTTCGACGACTACGAAGAGGAGGACATCCGCGTGTCTATTACGGAGAAATGCGCCAAGGAGTTTCTGGAGTTTTAGAGTGAGCGTGAGGTCACATCAGGGCTCAGACACTGGGATCATTGCACTCTGCTATGAGCTTGGGATTGGAACTGAGATCATCCAGTTTGTTCAAACAAATACCTAGTTCCTTCATTCCAGTGTGTGATGGAGGTCCTTATTGCCATGACCCATAATGTGTAGTTAGCACTGACATATACCGGCACATTTAAGCAGAAACACTCCCCAGCGCCCCCCCGTTTTCAAACCGTCGTAGTTGTCCTGAATGTTCTTTTGCCCCTTGTTTAAAGCAGTGGTATTTTACAGGTCAAAAAAATGATCAGCTAGGAAAGAGTTAACAGACATCCTTCAGTGTGATCAAGTGATCGTCCCTGGCGGTGTCGCATTTGGTGTGTAATTTGGGTTCAATTCGAAGATACATGTTGCTTCTAGTTCTTTCCAGCTGGAATTTGTCTGTTACATGTCTGGGGAATTTTAAAACCAAGAGCAAATCCTATCTTGGCTAAAATGAGAATCTCGATGACTTCATTCACAAGTTAGAGTTGCCTGTTCTTTGTGCACATGTCTATCAAACGGATAGCATCTAAACCGCCATGTGTGTGTTCAGAGAATGACCAAAAATAGAGATTGAGAGTATGGCAAGGGGATAGTGTCGTAGAAACCCGGTACCACTGACCCACAGTCGTTCTTTGTTTGGTCCGAATTCAGGCCTTTGTACAGCTGGCTACTATGGACAGTAGCAAAAAACAGGAAACAGTAAGCAGTAGATAGGTCATCGTACCATTTGTAGCAGTGTTTCCAAGTATATCAACTCATAAATAGCTAATTTTATATTTGAGTTCCTTAATCCAGGTATGGAAGTAATATAGTCAATTGCAGGATGGTACATTTGACGACTAAACGTTCAGGTGCGACAAAGCGTGGACTCTCAGACTTTAGCCTTTGACATCACTGTATATCTCCACCATATGCTCCCACCCAAACAGAAATGGCCGATTCACTTGCTCTGTAGCTAGCTATAAGGTCCGGGGGGAGAATGGGTCCAGCCTGGTTTGCCTGTGGAACAGTCCTGGTCGAACTGCTTTTCGGCCAGCGTGCGATATATGCTCCGTCATGAGTTTCTACCGCTTAAGCCGTTTTGCAACATTCTCAGAAGAGATTGTAAAACTGCCATATTCCCAAGATGTCCATTTTTACGTGCGTGTTTCCAAAATGGTTTATTTTGTTCTCGCAGCGATGTAGTTCAGCGGCTGGGTGATGTGTACGTTAAACACTTGATTAAGTTGCTTTCACGCACCGACTAAAAAGAGTTGAAGAATCCTACGTTTGCCAGCTTTTTGTCTCTCTATTCTGCGTTCGACTCATTTCATACGGCACATTTTGCGTTGTTTCTGATATTTGTTTTTATTTATACATATTAGAGAAAGATGCTGTCTAATAAATTTTATTTTTAAACTGTTAAGACGGGATAGTTTTGCTTACTTCTGAAGATTACTCTGCTCATGTGTATGAAATACTACCCATGTGAAAATACTTGCCTCCATATATATATATAGATTATATATAGCAACTATATTTGTTGGTGTGTCAGTTGGTATGAATCCTTTTACAGCCCTTATGTAAGCTACATGACACCCCTCACTGAAATATATATATTTTTAAATTCACATTTATAGCTGTTTCACAAAAACATTATGGGCTCCACTGTCAATTCTATGTTTTTGATTTAATGTTTTGCACATCATCTGAAAGGCTGATGGCAGTTTTTGTTTTTCTTTTTTTGTTTTTTTTGACCACCCCATTTTTTTTCTGTGTTCAAGGGAAGTACAAGATACTTTGCTGTAGCAGAATATGTAACAAATGGTCTGTGTGTATGTGCGTGTGTGCGCGCGCGTGTGTTATATAAAGATACCTATATCACATTAATAAAAGAACAGAAAATTCTTTGTATGAAAATATTAATCTTTTGTATTTCATTTAGACTAAACATGCTGTTGTATGCAAGCTGTATGCGATAATCTATGGTAAATTTGTCGTTTATGAACGTAAAAGATTTTAATAAATGCTGGAGATCACATTTATCATTGGTATTGAGAATTTTAGCTAATGTTCAGATGTTGCTGGTCCAGCCTAAATATGAAGCTCGGACAGCCAGCTACTGTTACTAATTGAATATAACAACATTTCATGGCACAGAACGTACAGACAAGCTACAAAATAACCATGTGTGTGATTTCCTCTGATCAAGTCCCAAGCATGCATGAAACAGACTTTCAATCACAAATACCATATTCCAGTCTGTTAATCTGTTTTGGTCTTATTAAATCAATGTGTCTGATTTACAGTCAGAGCGACAATCTAAACAATGTGAATCGGTACCACCAAATTACTTATTTTGGGTCCGCAGAAGCATGTTAGATGGGTCATGTCCAGTTTGGGTCACAAAGGGCACCAGCCATATGTAGGGACATCTTGCTTTTAGGAAGCAGAGGCTGGAGGACTGGTACAGCAGAGGAATTGAGAGTAGAGAGGACTTTTACAGTGTAGCAGGGAGGTGTACACCCCACACAGGAAGTGTCCTCTGAAGAGGCTACATATTCAGCCTCCCTTACAGGACAGACTTACGGGCAGCTGGGGGAGGTCCACCCGTATCACTGAAACAGGAACTGTCTGAGATATCAGGGAAGTCCAGGGCAACCTCTTGTGACTCCTCAACCCCCAGAGCTGTGTCTCCTGGGTACTTTTGCGTGTTTACATGGACCATCTCGGTAGGTAGCATCTCTCCCTGTATGCTTTACCAGACGACGTGGTGTCTGAGGTCTTCATACAAAATGGTAGGAAATCCTTAATATTTCTAGGTAGGTAAATTTAGCTCTCAGGATCAGTAATGAAATTTCTCATCCCAAACCCATAATGTTGCACAGAATGCCAGCTACTTCACAAATCATTCTGTACCTGAATTCTCCTTTTCAAATGTTAGAGATTAAACAAAAATAAATGCATGCTCTTAATTTAGGAAGCTACCCCCTCCCACCCCCAGCCGGAGGACTGCAAGCTGTGAGCTACTGTATGTCGGCCAGTTTCAGAAGCTGACTAATTAGGAATGGAAGCAGTTTGAATTACTAATGAAGGTTGCTTGGCAGACATGTTTGTCCAGTTTCATATCAAGTCTGAGAAAACGGTCATCATATTGGTATGTTAGCACTAAAAAAGGGAGTATCTTTTGTGGAGGCGGATACTACATGTGTAACTCTTCAAAATCCTGTATATGCAATCTGTTGATTAATAAGGTCTCCTCTTAATGTCAGGGAGACTTTGACCCTCATATATGACCATTATTTCAACTACAGATTGTTAGTTAATCTTTCAGTGTAAATCCAGTCGGCAAAAGGTGTGTTTTTGATGCCATTTTTATTTTCAAAGAATGAACTGTCTTGTATGAAATGTTCAGACCTAATTACCAACTTAAAATAGCTAGTTTCACAGAACACCAAGGGTTGTCATCGTTAACATTATGTTTAACGATATGAATCTTATTATATATGCAGTATATCTGCACTGATGGCATGTGTACGTTGCAGAATAAAGACAACTTACATGAAACTGGTAAAGAAAATAAATATTACATGAGACAGCGATAACCCTCTGTTATCGGCCTGTGTACATGTACTTATTTTAACGCCCTTTACATCTATGTCAACCTTACTGCTTGCTGAAACTCCCTTTTCTAGGGTCTGAGCCCGCCGTCGTCCACCGTTCGGGTTTCCGTTCCGGTTGAACCGTTTCTCCAGAGCCAGGCTTTTTCACGCCATCAAGTGGGAGGTGAAAGACTCCACCTCCCAGAGTCCCCTTCGAGCGAACGGCAGCAACCGATTGGCCAAGGCCGTCAATTTCGCTGGGAACCGTGGCCGTGAATGTAGTCCAGGGAAGGAAGCTGCTCGCAAAATCTGGCTAACGAGCCAGCTGCACAAATCAGAAAATAAGGTAAGCGCCTTTGTTTTGCCGCTTGAAAAAGTGCCGGCTGACTAGTTTAATTTCGGGTCGGGGCGATCCAGGAAGTTCCCCCTCCGCCTTGGTGGCGATCTGTTGGTTTATTCGTGCATTTGCATCATCCAGCTAGCTAAATGTCACATTCTAGGCAGATGGCTTTGGTGTAGCCCATGCTGGTGTTTCAAATGAAATACAACGGCGGCGTTAACAAACGTGCGCATTTCGGGCTGTCAAAATAGGTTAGTACTTTTAATGCGTCTAATTATTCACACGACGATTTGAGTCTATGCCGAGTCTCTGCGATTTTGCAGAAATAACACAATTATTTGCGAGTGTAAATAGTACTGGGTGTATTAATAGAAAATCACCAGACTATTGCTCAGTTTTAAAAATAATTAATTCAGTTTATTTAAGAAGAAATCTATTGATTTTTTTGTTCTCCCCACAATGACGTGTACAGCGAAGATCTCTTTTGGATGTTATAACAGTTAGACACAGTTAGAAAACAGTGTCAGGCGCACTAAGCTTGAATTTCGTGAGGGTGATCTGGTTTGACATGTTTTTGCAATATAAGGTCGCTAAATCGAGTGCTTTTCTGGGGCAGGCCAATGTGACACATAACCCTGCTTTATTTGTGTTTTTTATGTATCTTTATTTTTTGAGTACGTATTTTGTCACTGTGTTAAAAGCTGAACGTTATCGCGTTTATTTAAATTAACTGAAGGATTTGTTTAATTGAAAATTTTGTTCTAATTAGTTTTGTTTCTCAAAATATAGCTGATTTTAAATATGACAGTCCCGTGCTGTTACAATGGGTGACAACTTGAATGGGAGTTGGAAGAAAATGTTGTTTAAGTCATGTTACTTTGTGGGAACATTTATGGATGCATTTGTAAAGGTGACTGTTTCTTTGATTTCATGATATTAAGCATGAGCTATTGCTAAAAGTGTTAGTCCACCAATGTATTTTTCTGTTTCTCCAGCAACGGGTTGCAGTTGTTCATTAAATGGGTCATACTCTCAGCCGTAAACATCCCAGTGACTCCCTTACTTATGCATGAGAATATACGGTGAGTTATAGGCAGAGTATGATAAAGGACCCAGAATTACACAAGACAGAAATAAAGTCTTTAAAATAACCACGTTAGTTAAAAAATAACACATTTTCGTTGTCTAGTTCAAGTGAAAAGGCATAGTGACCCGTTTGTGTGTTTGTTGTGCGTGAGATAAAAAGTGTGTGCGTTAAGAAGTAGATGAGACTATTTTTATTATCTTTTGCTCGTTGAATACAGGAGCAAATTAAGTGCCTAGCCTGAATGACATCACCATAAACATTTATTAAAAAAATCATAAAAAATACATTTCTTTGTCTAGTTTTTTTGGATTGTATTACATTTGATATATGATTGTATTATGCGCAGCATGTGTAAATAAATCCTAACTGAGTTTCCATCAAGTATTCAGAATCATGCAGTGTCAGTCCTTTGACGTTTGTTATCCTTTCTGGACCGACACTGCTAGTGGCAATTTAAGTAGTATGATCTGTGCGTTAAATCCGAGACGTTCCTTCGAGTCAGAGTTAAGACGCTGCGAAAGATTTACAGTGAAAAATCATAATGAAATCAAAAATAGACATTAAGAGAACTAACTGGATTTCACGCGTTTAAGGCTTTCCAAGTGAAATCTGCCATTTCACAGTAAAATATCGGCGCCAGATCTACAGAACTGGATTTGAGACTAAATTGAGAAGTACAGTTTTGCAGACAGAAAAGACTAAAAGCTTTAAAGATACAGACCGCCTTATCAGCATTAGCGGTATCAAATTAAATTCTGGAGAGATGCTTTCTGAATGAGGGAAAATAGACTTTGAAATCTAAAACAGAAAACAATCAGGTATGCTGTGAGTTTGCATTATTATTCTTTTGCCCCTTCAGTTCTTGTTTAGGGCTGTTTTCTGACAGACTGCATTTTGGTATTGGCGGCGGGGGCAAGTTCCCTTCATAACTTGCACGTTGTTTACCGACATATTGGGGTTTACTAATTGAACTTAAACGCCCAGCGTATTGCATACACGCTACTGGCTTTCTGGCCCTTTAAGTGAACCTTTTTTTCTTTTTATACACCGTAATCAGCCCTATTGTTATATAACGCGGGCGCGCGCGATTCCGCGAGACAAGCGCCGGTGCCGCGATAATACGTGCCCCCGCGCGACGCCCGCTGCTACAAATAAAGAGACTTTCATCCCTGCTCTTTCCAAGACTTGTCATCCATCTGTGCTCTAAAATTAATGACAAATGCAGTAGCTGACAGAATAGATGAGCAAGCGTCGCTCATCAGACGCAGTCATCTTGTATTTTATGTGGATTATGCAATTTATGCTTTATGCTTAAAAGTATTCCTGTATCATTTTAGGCCTTGATAGGAGTAACAGATGTGTAGGGAAGTGAAATAAGCTACAGAAAAAACTTAATGCCAGCGGCTCGATTATATGACAGTCAAGAAAAAACAATTTTTCCATTTCAAGGACGCTTAGCTTTATTTTATTCTTAATTTAGCATGAGATTCAAGCAAACCCTGGAATAATATTGAATTTCTTTTTAATGAGTATTAAAGTACCCTTTAATAATTGATTATCAATAGCTGCTTAGTTGGTTTATGATTGCCAATTACATATTCAGTGATTTCTCTCTCCCCAACACTGCAGTACATTGTCAAGCACTGTTCCTCTATGTTGCTAGGCAACTGGCTCTCCATGTGCATCAATGGGAGAGCGCATTGTGGTGTGGCCAGGGGAAGGTGGGGGTGGGGGTGGGACCTGCAAGGGGGTGGCCAAGGAGTGAGCTTTAGCGGGAAGGGGAACAAAGTGGAAACAGCAGGAGGAGCTTCTGAAGCGAATGCCAGCAGAGTCTAGCTGTCTGCTGCTCCGCAGCTGCTCCCTGTAATCTTCAACATCTTATTAAAGTAACACACAC